GTAAAAAACATGGAGTTGAAAAAAATGATAAAATGCACTACATAATAATAGTGAGTATATTTGACTAAACAATGTGAAAATAGATACAAACTTAAGATCTTTCCGATACTGAAAGAATCAGAGTAATAAAAAATATAATAATTTAAACACAAATATAAAAAGCTACTCTTAATTTTCAGCGTATAATCCACGAGAATGTTTGAAAGTCAATTTGTATACTATTAATTTTACAAAATTTGCTAAGTAATAGCTACTCATTACACGGAAAATTAAAGTAATTTAATTTTTTTGTGCACGAATACATTTAAAAATGAATTTTATTTCGAAAATATTGGACAAGTATCTAATCAAATAATTCCCGAAACTATAACAATAACTTCTGTCCAAATGAGTGACGTCAATGCCAAACATGGAAATCGTTTTTCTGAGACAATGGCAAAGTTTATGACTGAAGAATTCGAATATTACTGTTGATGTCAAAACCCTACAAGCGTTTATTGTATATTTATGTGTTAACTGCAACTTCGCACTTTTATTCAGAGAATATAGCGTAAATACAGTATATAGAACACATAATATTTTTCAACATTTGTTTTGATGGCTGTCTGTTAAATCTATAGTAAATGTGTAAAAATTCTATAATAGACGATCAATAGTGTACACTTTAACTATCATCATCATATCAAATGAAATTATACATTATATACGAAAATAAGTATTTGACAAAATAATGAATTACAATCTAAACGAAAAGATAATATTTCTTCTTGTAACTATTCAATTTGGTTGTTGAAATAATGTAAATACTCTTGCCAAGGAGTAATTATTCAATGTTTAATAAATTCATAATGTATATAATGTAAATTAAACTGCTTTCACAGTGACAATTATAAAAAACAAAAGATTTTTTTTGCATTGAATAGATGTTATCCCTGTCATAGTAAAATCCTGAGACTTTTTTTATTTCGAATATTTATGGTAATAATATTAAACAAATACATAAAAAGTAGATGTAAAAATATAAATGTTAAGCTGTATAATTTAGAAAAATATGTTAGAATTATTAAATGAATTAACGATGTGTTTTACATATAATAGCAATTTGTTAACAATTTTGAAATGAAATAATAATTTTAACTTAACAATTTTCACATAATTTAAGCAACGTTGAGCGATAGAAATAAAATAACGTAAGATGTCATCTATTTGTAATCTTACCTTCTTCAAATTCTCTGACACTAAATGATTTTTCTAATTCATAATCATCCTTATCACTTGTTGATATTTGCTGGAATGGTAATGTTTCAGAGATATCATTGATACAATCATATTTTTCATTCCTATTATCAATCGTATTTGGTGTTGATGTTGATAAATTGACGTCGACATTAAGTTCATCAATTTCTTCGATTGCATTTGCGTCATTATTAGAAAATGCATTTTCACTAAATACGGCGTTTGCATCATTTTCCAATAAATCATTCTCGATGTCACATTCATCTTCCTCATAAATTATTTCTTTTACCAAAGAAAATTTTTCTAAATATATGAATGCCTTTTTCAAAGGCCTGTCAACATAATCTTCAATAACCGATGCTGTTATTTGTTCTGAAGGCAATACAAAATCCTGATCCTTCTGTAAAATCCAATTTCGAAATTTGCTTTTATCCTTAATTTTACATAAAAGAATAAAACAATCTAAATTCAACAGTTTATTGTAGATTAATTAATATAAAGAATCTTAAATTGTTTTCCTTTTTTTTATCAACTCCGAGAACATTTGTTTACTCAGAAATAAATAATGTAAAGCTGATCGAAATAAAATATTTTTACAAGCTTCTGAATTATTATAACAATGTTGTACTTATGAATAATTAATAAATTAGTTTCCATGAATTTAATTATATTTACACTTACAACTGAATTTAATTCTCTGTAATCTGAATCAGCAGATATATGAGTGGTTGTACTCTCAACGATTATCTTTGTATCTATTTCCACTTTGTTACGTTGTAAAATATTCGTATCTTCATTGAAATCTTCAGCACAGTTTTCATCAATGACAGCTGAAGACGATTGATTTAAATCAGGTACATTAATTTGGCAATCAGAAACTGTAGAATAACAAAAAGAAAAAGCATAGAAACAAACTAATTAATAAAATTCACTTTAAGTGAATTTAATAAATTATAAATATTAGTANTTCCACTTTGTTACGTTGTAAAATATTCGTATCTTCATTGAAATCTTCAGCACAGTTTTCATCAATGACAGCTGAAGACGATTGATTTAAATCAGGTACATTAATTTGGCAATCAGAAACTGTAGAATAACAAAAAGAAAAAGCATAGAAACAAACTAATTAATAAAATTCACTTTAAGTGAATTTAATAAATTATAAATATTAGTAGAAAGAAATAAAGAAGACACAATCAGTTTAGAGGAACTGAAGACAAGTCATTACTCACGAAAGACATTTTTAAAATGTATTTTAAAATATTGTAATTATTTTTATTTTTGCCAAATAAACAAGATTTACCATTAATATATTGATTACCTGGAATTGATAAAGATGCAGGAGTATCTGATGACAGAGGGACGTCTGTTTGTAATATTCTTTTATCTGAAGGCTCGTGTTTGAGCATTCCTGATTCTGGCAGATATTCTAATTCTTCTTGTCGTGCTTCAGGTTTAGGCACTACTTCTGCTGGCCTCTCTCCTGACAGTTCTGACGATAGCTCATATGCAGAGAATTTTGTCAACGTTCTAGATTCAATAATTTCTGGCACTGGCCCATGTCCGGGAATTTCTGTAAACACTCCACATCCAACTACTTCTAATTCGGACCCATGTGTATGTAATTCTGGAATAGGTCCATAGCCTGACACTTCTGGAAATTGCCTATATCCATGAAGCTCCACCGGTAGTCCATATTCAAGATTATCTGGAGCTGAATCATATCCAGGGGGTTGTACGGACAATTCATTTTGACGGACTTCCATAACTGGTCCACATTCATATAACTGTGCTGGAGGNTCCAAATGTTTTATTATAAACAGTTCTTTGATACTTTAACATGTAAGACAGGTCGCAGTTCAATAACTGATACGATTTAACTTGCATTATCTCATTTTAATAAGTTCTCAGTTGTGAGGTGATTGATATATTTTATGAAAAGAGATATCCCTGTTTTTCTTAGCAAATTTTTGAGTTTTTAATAATAAATTGTAAACACTACAACGATCTTCAGAAAGTAAAGCTGTTGTTTTTGACCAGAATATTAAAATATTTAGTGTAATATTAATTTCTCAATTCAAGCCTTAAAATCGGTTTAGGACTCGATCGTTCTAATTTATATAGGCGTTTAAAATACCTTAACTGTATTTTTTCAAGTTATACCAGAAGATCAAGACTTCAAACAGTGATCAAATATGTTAATTTTGATTTTAAAAAGGCGTCAAATAATATAAATGAATTNGTACCTAATTTATATATAATTATATATACAGACGAAACTAAACTCAATTTACCCGCTCAAACGTCCGTAGCATGGCGCTATGGACGGCGGAAAAGTAGTTCGGCTTCCGATGACGTTTTACGTAATTATAGGAGTTTTTTTAACGTTGTGTACTGATACCGCCACAATTTTTTCGCCGTCTTATAGGAATCGTAATTATTGGAACCAGTCTTATAGGGGGATCTACTGTATTGTATCGTTAAAAATTATTTTTTTAATTTGTACAAACAAAATAAACATATTGAAAAATATAAAAACAATAAAAATTATACTTCAGAAGTTAATTTAGTATCAAAAACGTAAAATATTTGAGTAGCCGAAGACATAGCCTAATATTACAGCGCCACAGCACTGGCGAAAATTTAAATTTGTCGACTGGAATTCCTTTGGATAACCGACGTTTCGGATAACCGACCTTCGGATAAACGACGCTCTACTGTATTCAATAAACACACATACATCAATATTATTCTGCATATGAATTATCTTCAAATCTATATCTATATCTATCTATATCTATATATATATATATATAAATGGACATGCATGTCCCTATATTTCACTTTTTCGCAAAAACTACACATCGCACGTGAATG